ATAGTCCTCGAGTGAGAGTTTTCTCGAACTCGGGTAGCCCTTAGGCTTAGTAGTCGAGCGAGTGCTTGCTCGAACTCGAAGTAAAGTTAGCCCTTAGGCTTTATAGATAGTCCTCGAGTGAAAATTTTCTCGAACTCGGGTAGCCCTTAGGCTTAGTAGTCGAGTGAGTGCTTGCTCGAACTCGAAATAAGGTTAGCCCTCAGGCTTTATAGATAGTCCCCGAGTGAGAATTTGCTCGAACTCGAACAGGTAGCCCTTGGGCTTTTTTTTTATATTGGCCCTTAGGCTCTTTGGATCGGCCCTTAGGCTCTTTTGATCAGCCCTTAGGCTCTTTGAATTGGGCCAATTCGGCCTCTAATAACGACTATAATTTTTCCCTCATTTCGGCTAAAACACTTAGTGAAAATTTTGCTATGCCTTAGCATGTGTTTCTTGTACCCGTTGGGTTTTTTGAAGGTTCGTCTGATTGGAACCTTATTTGTAATTTGTTTGTGAAAAGACAATCGAACACCTCTTAAGGCATTTTCGAAAGTTGATGTTATCGAAGCCTTTAACTTATTAGAGGGCTAATTCTATCGAAGACCTTTATCGTTTGCTTTTGTCGAGGGTAGCCTGATTTAATAGGTTTTTTTCAAAGTGTTTGAAGGCCTTTATTTTATGGCGGAAGTCGGACGTCTCCGAGCCGCATTATTTCGGTCGTAGCCTTTTCATATGACCGTAGTCTTTAGTATGGCCGTAGCCTTCGGGTATGTCTCTTGGACTTGTTTCCCGATAACATTTCGAACTTGTTCGAAATGTTAGTCCCCGAGTGTGATGGCCTTGGCCTGTATATTAGGGATGCCTCTTTGAGGTCTTATTATTTTGAACTCAGATAGCTCGAGTAAATAATCCTCGAGTGTTCGAGACATGCTTGCATTTGGGTTAAGATAGCCCTTAGGCTTTTATGATTGAGTGAGAATTCGTTCGAACTCGAAGTAAAGTTAGCCCGTAGGCTTCATAAACGGTCTCCGAGTGAGGGTTTGCTCGAACTCGGGCTAAGGTAGCCCTTGGGCCTTTTTGTCACGGATTTCGGATGTCTCCGATCCAAGTTAGTTTGGCCGTATCCTCTTTAGTTCGGAATTTGCCCTTTGGGCTGATCTCCCATTTCACTTCGAGCTTGCTCGAAGTGTCAGTCCCCGAGTGGGGTGGCCATGGCCCACAAAATCAAGGATTGCCTTTAAGGTCTTATGGTCTCGAAATGTTAGCAGTTTGATTCCATTCACTTTTGGGATAGTAGCCCTCAAGCATGGGTCAGTTGTTTGAATTCCCTCTACGGTCGGCCCTTAAGCCTGTTTACACAATAGATCAAGAGTATAAAATATGAAATTTAATAAGGGCAGGGGATATCGACAAGGAAAAGTACTTCTCTTGATAGATGATTTTACAAGCGTGCATGCTTGATGTCTAGGGCTCGAACAACCTATACGGGCACAGTTCATCTGACCGTTTGGCCCTTACAACACTTTCCTATCGAGGCCCGTGTAGGGAACCTCAGATTCTGTCGAATTGCTTTTAGTTAGCATGAACAACAGTTGCCTTGTTAAAAACCCCGCCGGAAAAACCTACTTGGGACAAAAACCGATCTGAGGGAAAAAGAGTGCAAAGCGTGCTTCAAGATCTAAAGCTTCATGCCAATCCTTATCGATAGCCTGCAAGTGTTAGTCGAAAAAAATAGAAAAGACTGGACTAGAGTCTTACCTTTATTCGAACTTTGGATACTTAACGTGATCTTCCTTGGCACCAAGCCCCCGTGAATTTTGACCTCGATCATTTCTCTTCTCATTTCGTGTGAAGCTTTGCCCGGATCCGCTGCCTCTATAGTCTCTTTTGTATGGTTGATATCGATCTCTGTTCGACCCCGGCTCTCGATCAATATCCCCTTCGATCCTATCCATGATCCTGCTAGGATAAACGGACCCCGAAGGGGTCCCCAGTTGATCGTCTTCGACCCTAATCTTCGACTGATACCAATTATGTACGTCGGCCCAAGTGACAGTCGGGTAATCGACTAAACTTTGCTTCAACTGCTGTGACCCTATGGAACTCCGAGTGTTGAGACCTTGAGTGAAAGCTTTAATAGCCCAGTCATCGGTGATAAGAGGCAAACCCATTCTCTCCACTTGGAATCGAGATACGAATTCCCTGAGCATCTCGTTATTTTTCTACCTTATCTTGAAAAGGTCCGACTTTCTTGTTGCAATTTTAATGGCTCCGGCGTGTGCCTTTACAAAAGAATCTGCAAGCATAGCAAACGGATCAATAGAATTAGGGGGTAAGTTATGATACCATACTAAGGCACCCTTCGATAGAGTTTCCCCGAACTTCTTCAGCAGTACAGACTCGATTACGTCGTCTTCCAAGTCGTTTCCCTTTATGGCGCATGTGTAAGAAGTAACGTGTTCATTTGGGTCAGAGGTTCTGTTGTATTTAGGTATATCGGGCATACACAACTTCTTTGGGATGGGCTTCGGAGCCGCGCTCGGAGGGAGCGGCCATTGCACGAATTTTTTGGCGTCCAATCCCTTCGAGATCAGGGGAGCTCCCGGTATTTGATCGACACGGGAGTTATAAGTCTCCACTTTTTTGTCATTATCCTTAATCCTCTTTTCCCCGGACTATATCCTCTTGGTGAGCTCTTCGAGCATTCTCATAATAATGGGGTCAGTCCCCGAGCCATTTTCGTTCGACCTCTCTGGCGCCGGTTTAGCACATCGAGTGTATTCCGGTTCAGCTATGCTCGGGGTTTTGTTCTGGCTCTGAAGTTGAGCGATGGCGATTTGCTGGGCTTGCAGCATCTCGAATATCACTTGGAGGCTGACTCCCCCATCTCCTGTTCCTGGTGTTCCTTGGCCTCCAGGCCGGGCTCCCTGCGTACACTCCCTCCGGGGTGTGCGCCTAAATTTGCATTTAAAGCAATGTGCGAACCAACGTCAACTAGTTCCAGATTTGGCATTTCCCCAGGGTTTGTTGGTGGTACACCGACCCCTGCATTATTGTTTTTCCCATGAAATCCAAGACCTTCGTTGTCATGAACAGGTGTATTTTGTGAGTTTGACATGTTTAATCCTGAGAATCAGAAAATCTTGACAAGAAAAAGTGTAAAAATAATGTGTGTAACGAGAAGCAATAAAGAAATAATCACTATTATCTTTAGCCCCACTGTGGGCGCCAAACTGTTTACCTTGATAATATGAGTAACAATTAAATTTGATTTGTGGTTATAAAGATATGTGATTTGATTCAATGCCAATTAATAATCAAGAAATATGAAGTAGAAATGAAAGAAGTGAATCAAACCAATATAACTCAGCAGCTGTGACCTCGAGCTTAGTAACCTCGAGGTGGGTTTAAAACCATAAGAACAATTAAGCAAAAAAGGTAAAGTAAGAGCATTAGAGTTAAAGGAGAATTCTGATGAACAGTAGGCAAAAAGTAGAGAGTATATTCTTTCCTCAATGATTAGATCCTGTTACAAATGATTGGGGGTCCCCTTAATATAATAGGGGAACCCTAAATAAGGTATATTTCTATTTACAGTAAGGAATATTCTTGATATAGTTGTCTAACCGCCTGGTACGGAATCGTACAATCCTATTCGGGGATTTGCGCCATGATCTTGGGGATATGGTAAGAATCTAGCTCTTTATGTTACAAATCCATAACGGTACTATTTCGGGGTCGAGTGTACTCGGCCTTGGTGTACATCATGCTTCAATCTTCGGGCATTGACTCTGTCCTCGAGCTCGAACTCGACCTTGCCTGAACTCGGGCTCAAGATGACCCCTCGAGCCTATGGATCGGAGGCATACGATTTCGACCATATACTATGTATAAACAAACGAAACTCAGTTAAAAATTCAATGGTTCCATTGTACCAAATTGTACTGGCAATTACTATCGTAGCTCTCCAATAATGGAGTATTTTATATAGTTAAAAAATGATTAGTACGACTTAATTAGTTGACGTGCAAACATATCATTCATGTAAACCTTCACCTAATCACAAACTCAATAATAATTTATTAAACCCATAAAATATATTTTTCTATGTTCTCAAATTGCTTCTTAAATTGTAGCAACCATACATGTATTTCTTGCAGTTAGGTTGTAACTGTCATGTTTACCTAGCCTGGAAAAAGCATATCGAGTAAATCTATTATTATTATTATTGAAGATAACTGATAGAGGCATGTTACTAGCAAAGTCAACTAATTAATTTTTAGTCAGTACTAAAAGTGCTGAAAATCACATTCCCCAATGAGCTGTTCTAAACGGTGTAGCATATTTCCCGACCATGGGAACATATTTTAGTACCCCTCTTGGTAGAATAGAGGAGTCTTGGAATATCGATCAAGTTATCTCCCGTGTGATCTATATGATACGAGTTTGATTCGTGGAATCAGTTACCAATATCAGGGTTGATTGCCTGCATCCCCTTTGGCTGCTTCTCTTCCCCAAATCATGTATGAACGCGGAATCCTTCTTGCACCAGGCTGCCTTTTTTTTCCTTCTTGGTAAAATAGTTGAGATCTTTCACCGATAATTAGATTTAGAGATTTCAAGTTCGAACTCTGAAAATTTAGAATTGCTTGATTAAGAGGCCTTTACCCCATACTGTATTTACTCGAGGCGAATATTACTAAATTAATTATGCTGGTAATTTTCGAACACCTAATGGTTAAGATAAAACGTATTGTAATACTAATATCACCAATTATGTATATCGTGAGGAAATACCTTCAACGCCTCGTCTTAGACATTATCAAAACCATAATTTGAGTTGGCCAAGACAAATATATTTTATAATAATTTATATGGTTCAAGTGGTACTTTAATCCATTTGAAAGCATTAAAATAGAGAAACCTAAGCTGTCGTGACAGCTGATCACTTCACGACTGATTCAAATATTCTAAAGTTAAAATTAAGTATAAAATGAAAGGATCCTCTTTGCATTTGCTTCAAACACACTGTCTACTTTGAGCTTAGCCAAGTAATATGGCAACTTCACAATTTGTAAATTGTTGTTTCTTGATTTCATTGATCTTCTTTGCATTTGCTTCAAACCATGCAAATGGGAAAGAACTCAAAGTAGGTTTTTACCACAAAAAATGTCCTCATCTCGAGTTGATAGTGAAGGAAGTTATTGATGATGTTATTTCCAGAGTCCCAAGTCTCGCTGCTCCTTTGCTGAGAATGCACTTTCACGATTGTTTCGTTAGGGTATGCATGCAAAAAGAAAAATGAATTCTTTGATTTCCTTTACCATTTTAGTATATGTCGCTGAAGGGGAGCCTTGCAGCAACGGTACTATTGTATCCGTGTGATTTATAGGTAATTGATTCGAGCCGTAGGATCATCTACTGGCGCTTGCGTCAGGGTAGGTCGTTGTCTATATCATACCTCTTGGGTGGGGCTCTTCCCTGAACCCTTGTTGTGTCTGTATGACGTATAGGTTACCGGTTCGAGCCGTAGGATCATCTATTAATGTTGCTTGCGCCAGGGTAGGTTGTCTATATCATCCCCTTGGGTGGGGCCCTTCCCCGATCCCATGTTGTTTCCGTGTGACTTACAGGTTACCGGTTCGAGCGTAGGATCAGCCACTGACACTTGCGTTAGGGTAGGCTGTCTATATCATATCGCTTGGGGTGCGGCCCTTCTCCGAACCTTGTGTGAATACGAGATGCTTCGTGCACAAAATTGTTTTTTTTTTAAAGGTATATGCCATTGGCATTATATATGATCTAACTTGAATTGATATTGTCTCTATTGACAGGGTTGTGATGGCTCGGTTCTGTTGGATTCCCCAACTAAACAAGCTGAGAAGGATGCAATTCCAAATTTAAGCCTTAGAGGATTTCAAATTATTGATAAAGTGAAGACTGCAGTAGAAAAATCCTGCCCTGGGATAGTTTCCTGTGCCGATATTGTTGCCCTAGTAGCTAGAGATGTCACAGTTGCGGTAAGTGTTGTTTACATTTTATATTTTACCAACCTATAGGTCTCTGTGTAATCTATAGGTGGCAGGCTCGAGTCGTGGAAGCAGCCACTAATGCTTGTATTAGGGCAGGCTGTCTACATCACACCCCTTGAGGTTAGGTCCTTCCCTGGTCCTGCGTGAATGCGGGATGCCTTGTGCACCGGGTTGCCCACATTTATATATATATATATATATATATATATATATATATATATATATATATATATATATAGTGTGTGTGTGTGTTGAATCTCCTTGGCTTATATATTTAATGTTTTATATTTTGATTCCCCTTAGTAAAAATCCCGTCACTGCATATATATATATATAGGTGCATTGTGCAATGTGGTATAACAATATTTGGTATATGATAAAACTACTCTTATTTCCGCATTATTACGTACTCATTATTATTCCATACTAGTCTTACATATTACTCCACCTTATTAATGTTCTTTTTGTATTTATAATTCTCAGGTCAAGGGACCATTCTGGGAAGTTGAAACTGGGAGAAGAGATGGAAGGGTCTCAAATATTACTGAAGCCTTATTTAATTTAATTCCTCCATTTGCAAATATAACATCATTGAAACAAGGATTCTTGCAAAGGGGATTAAGTGTCAAGGACCTAGTAGTATTATCAGGTACTTGATTAATTCTACTAGTTTTTCGACCATATCGTGAAATATATGATTATCTCATTTAAAAGCTTAAATTGACAAAAAAAAAACATATTTACTTAATTAATTATATGCATTTCAAAGGAGAGCCTTGGAGTAACGGTAAAGTTGTTTCCGTGTGACCTATGGGTCACGGGTTCGAAATGTGGAAGCAGCCACTAGTGCTTGCATTAGGATAGGCTATCTACATTACACCCCTTAGGGCGCGACCTTTCTTCGGAGGGGAATCTTGGAGCAACAGTAAGGTTATCTCCGTGTGACGTATAGGTCACGGGTTCGAGCTGTGGAAGCAGCAACTAATGCGTGCATTAGAATAGGCTGTCTACATTACACCACTTGAGGTGCGGCCATTCTTCGAACTTCACGTACACGGGATGCCTTGTGCATGGGCTGGTTTTTTTTTTTTACATACACATTTCAGCACTATGATATGCATGCAAACTAGCTAATATTTAAATTTTGTGCTTTTTTTTGTTTGTTGAAAAAACAACTTATAGGTTCTCACACAATTGGAATATCTCATTGCTCATCATTCAACAATCGTCTATACAACTTCACTGGGAAAGGAGATACAGATCCTTCTTTGGATCCAAACTATATAAAAAGATTGAAAATGAAATGTTCTCCAACTGACCAAAACTCCATTGTAGAGATGGATCCAGGAAGTGTTAGAACATTTGATACATCTTACTATAATCTTGTAGCAAAAAGAAGAGGACTTTTTACGTCCGATTCTGCTTTGCTTGATGATAAAGAAACCAAAGGTTATCTCAAAGAACAAGCACTTAACCATGGTTCAACATTTTTTAAGGATTTTGGTGAATCTATGGTTAAAATGGGAAGGATTCAAGTACTCACTGGTACTCAAGGTGAAATTAGAAAAGTGTGTTCAAAGATCAACTAAAAAAAGCAAAATTATTGCATGTCTAGTGGGGTTTTTTTCTCTTGATTTTTGAGAATTGTTTCTATTTTTTCTTTGATTATTTGAGTAATATATTTGTCCTTCAAACATATGAGAGTTTAGTGGTTCTTTTGTTGAAGTTATGAAAATAATTTGTTGTGTGAGAAAAGTGGAAACTTTGATATTTTTGTTCTAATTTATTGATGATATGTTTATGAAGCCAATTATTGTAATATATATTGCCACGCATTTCTACGAACAAAAAGATTCGAAGAATTTGTCAATACGCTAAAGAATGAATATGAAATAGATTTGGAGATTAGTTATGGTGGTATCGTCAAAGATCTATAATATATACGCAGTTATATACATATATACATGAATTATACAATTACAATATATACTTTTATTTATTTACTTTAGCTGGAATTGTTTTGGCACATAAAAGAAAATTTATTGAAAGAAAAAGGGAAAATGACATTGTATAGCCATTCAATAATAACCGAAAAAAATAATATATATATATATATATATATATATATATATATATATATATATATATGTTATACAAAAATTATACAAATCATATACATTTTCTCGACAGCGAAATGTAAATAATTTCTGACGGGCAACTACACTTTATATTATTAAAACCCGAAACTGAATATATAGTTACAGTTTCGTCCAATTCTTCGCAAGCTAATTAAACACAAAGTAAGAAAAACTATAGGCCAATTTTTCTTTTTATGTTCTGCCAAAGATTCTGCTACCGCATTTGCCTTCCTATATATGTGGCAAATAATTAGCTGCACAAATATAGCGTCAAATAGCAACCTGTAGAAAAAAAATAAGTGAGTATTTTACGTTTTATATATGCTTTTAGCACCTGATCAAATGAGATTCTTTGTTTGTGTTTACTTTTATAAGCCATAAAGTAAGGCTAAAAGTTCAGCTTGTATAACAGCCATCCATGTGCTATTGTTGTTTCAATTCATTCACATGCAGATCATGAATATTTCGAGGATAATGTAAATCGAAAAAAAGTAAACACAAGAAATAATCTAAATATAGTAGCTTACCTAACTGTTTAAACTATAATATATATATATATATAATCTATATATAATCTTACATGTAAACCATCCATTCCCTAATCACGAGCTCTATCATAATAGATTTAACGGTCAAAAAATCCTTTTTATACTTTATAACAAGTTGCATACATTATTGGCTATGCTTACTAATTGCGTACTCATATTGGGTTAAGGTAGTAATAGATTTAGGATCTAAAGTTTATCGGTTTCTATTATAATAATCCCAAATTAATATACAATAATAATTAGATTCACAATTAAATATTTATATTTGGTGATATATATATATATATATATATATATATATATATATATATATATATATATACATATATATATATACATATATATATATATATATAGTGGAACTCCAGCATATTATACCGGAGATTGAAGCACCGGTGCTCCAATATCCAGTATATTATATATGCACACACTAATATACGGGAGAAATTAAAAAATAGCCAGATTTACAAGTGGTCATTCAAAAATAGCCACAGTTTAAAAAGTAATCGAAATTTAGCCACTTTTCATGTAAAGATAAATCTGAACGAAAACATTGTTCAAAATCCGGAAAATACTCCAGCATAATATACTGGAGTTCCAGCATAAGTATACTGGAACTCCAGTATATTATAATAGAGTTCCAGTATAGTGGAACTCCAGCATATTATACTGGAGATTGAAGCACCGGTACTCCAATATCCAGTATATTATACCGGAACATTCCGCGTGTTGGAGTTCCAGCATAATATGCTGAAAGTTCATACGCAGGTGCACCGATCTCTAGTATATTATGCTGGAACTTCGTGTTGCAGCAAAATAGTGGCTCTTTTTTAATGACTTTGCAAATGCTGGCTATTTTTGAATGGCCAGTCCGAAAACTGGCTAGTCCGTGCTATTTTTACCTAATATACAGGTTTGCAAAAGTTATTGGGTTTTCGTGAATCAATAGTCTAGAATAAGTGTATCAAGTCATATAGTTCCACTAGTCTTTTTTTTTCTTTTTTTTTTTTTTGCCATTAATTAGAAGGTAACAGTACGAGGTAACTATAACTGATTGAGGCATGTTACTGGCAAAGTCAACTATAATATAATTATCTTCTTAATTAGTACTAATATAATTATTTGCACCAACGAGCAGTTCTTAAAATGTAGCGCACGTTAAGCAAATATCCGTTACTGTGAAGCCAACAGATTCGAAAAGATTCAACATGACTAAAGCACGGTATTGAAAGAGATAGGTATCGGTGTAGGAGATTAGGTAGTATAATTGGAAGTCAAATGCTTATTATTATACTTTGGCGGAATAGCCTAAATGGCACCTATACTTATGCCACTTTGTCATGTCGGTCCCCAAACTTGATAATTTGCCAGTTGAACCCTTACACTCCTTCAAACCGTGTATAATGAACGCTTATGACAGGAGGCTGCCAGTGCGTGTAATACAATCTCCTCCACGTTGGTTGCCACGTCAAAAATAACAATGTGTAGATGCCATGTCACATGGTAGATTAAAATAATTAAAATAAAAAAATAAAAAATAAAATTCAAACATTAATTCCCTAATCCCCGCCCTCATTGATTTCTCTCTCCCCTCACGTTCTTTCTCCTGCCCATCTTGTTTCTCTCTCTTCGTGTTCTTCCTCCTTTTCCCTTCCAATTCTTCCCTTTTTATATTGTAGAATAATATTAAAATATGTAAAGAAAAGAAACCGAGGAAAAATTATTTTTTTTCTAGATCGAAAAGTGGGAGAAGAAGTTCGGTGGTCCATTTCCATGGCTGAAGGCGTTAGGTGGCGGAGAAGAAGTTCGATGGTCCATTATTCGTTTAGCTCAAAAATTATACCCGCTGCCCCTTTAGTAGATTTTTGACTTGTTCAGAATTCAAGAGTAGTAAAAAATGACACCATAGGAATACAGAGATGTCTAAGGGAACTCTAGGGATTGAGTTTTTTTTTTTGGAAGGGGCGAGCGGGGGAGTGGGGAAGAAGAAGAAGTAGCATACAGGGGAAAAAATCGAAAAGGGAAGAGCCGGGGTTGTTTTGGGGGAGGGGGTTGGGGCGGGGAAGAAGAAGAAGCATACAGGGGGAAATAATCGAAAAGGGAAGAGGAAAGGGAGGGGTGCGGTGTTTGTTGGGTGGGTGGGGGTGGGGTGGGGTGGAGTGCGGGGGAGGGGGGGAGGGGGGGAGGGAGGGGGTTAATAGGAAAAAGAAATTAAATGGGGGTGGGGTTGCGTGGAAGAACTGAAAAAGACGATATCTCTTTTGCTTTTTTCTTTTTTGACTTATTTTATCTTTATCTTTTTAATTCATTTTTCATTTTTATTTTAATAATTTTTTCTTCTTATTTTAATTATTTCTTGTTCAAAATTTTAATATGCACGCTCGTTGTCCGCGTGAATTACACCCACTTTGTCCAGCTCAACCATTTTGTTGCCACATGTGCTTGGTCAACGGTCAGAGGGCCTTAAAATATAGGCTTTGATCAAGTTAAAGTGTCTGAATGAAAACAAGTGAAGTTTGGGGACCGGCATGACAAAGTGTGATAAGTATAGGTGTCATTTAGGCCATTCTGCCTTTTACTTTAGCTGGAATCTTATTATACTTTACTTTTTAGTATGTTCCAAGAATAATGTCATGCTTTTTTTATTTTAAAATGATTTTATTTTAAATTCCTACTTTGCCTTTAATAAAATAATTTATAGTCACACAAATGTCTATAGCTTGATTTAGACCACAAATTTCAAAACTTTAATTTTTTCTTAAAATTCGTGCCAAGTCAAACACCGCTACAAAAATTGGGACAAAGGAAGTAAAATTTAAGGTCATGATGGCAGTGAGTTTTTGATAATATTGTAATTTAATTCTCCATCAGAGAAGCATATGTCCCATTTAACGAAATATCTAACTTTAAAATGCTTCATCTGAACCTATTTGACTGGGCATGAAATTTAAGAAAGAAGATAAAACTTTTGAAACTTATGATCTAAAATAATCTAAAGATATTTGTGTGACTATAAATCATCTCATTAAGGATAAAAGAAAATTTTTAAAATCAAATTATTTTCAAATTTAGAATGGATCCATTTCTTTTTTTTAAAATTGACTAAAAAAGAAATAGATTCCTTCTTTTAGAAACAGGAGAAGTAACAATTTTAAGTGAATTTGTTACCATTGATTAAGAGAAAAAACGAATCAGAGTGACAGAGATCCCCCACAACAGCTTACGTTCAATAGACAACCAAAGAGTTAAGTTAAAATATCATGGTATAGCCAGTTTTCACACTGGTCAATGAAAAATAGTCAGCGTTTATCAAGTCAATGAAAAATAGCCACTATTTTGCTGCAACAGGGACCGGTCCAGTATAATATACGGGAGTTCTGGTGCATTTGTGTACGAACTCCAGCATATTATGCTGGACCGGTATACTTTGCTAACTCCTGTAAAATTTGCGGGAGACTGGAGCACCAGTGCTCCAAACTCCAGTATATCAGTATATATTACTGGACAATTATACTTGCTGGAACTCCCGCAAATTTCCCGTAAAATTTGCGGGAGTTCCAGCATAATTATGCTTGAACTCCCGTAAAATTTGCAGGAGTTCCAGCATAGTTATCCTGGAACTCCCGTAAAATTTACGGGAGTTCAAGCATACTTATGCTGGAACTCTCGTAAAATTTGCGGGCGTACTTTTCCGGATTTTGAACAGTGTTTTCGCTCAGATTTAAAGTGGCTAAATTTCGATGACTTTTGAAACTTGGCTATTTTTCAACGACCAGTGGTAAATCTGGCTATTTTTTAATTTCTCCCAAGAGTTAACTGCACCCTGAGGCCTGGGATGAGGATGGTTGTTTTAGGATTCACAATCTAAAAAATTTCAGGTTTTTGTGGGGCATTTGCATCTATACCCGTTTTTTGTGCCACGTTTTAACTTGTGCCCGCTTTGCAAAAAAATTGCAAGCGTACCCGCTTTTTCGCATAACTTCAGCATACGGGGCTGAAGTAGCAAAGGCAATCACCCAAAACTTCAGCATTCTAGTAGCCGGGCCTGAAATTCAGCTCTAGAGCTGAAGTTTTTGTGTTTGTAACTGGGGAACTTCAGCTCTAGAACTGAAGTTTTTGTCTTTGTAACTGGGGAAGAGCTGAAGTTTTTGTCTTTGTAACTGGGGAACTTCAGCTCTAGAGCTGAAGTTTTCTTGGTTTATACAATTTCTGATCTGGAATGAAGTTATGAGAAATATTTTCAGTTCGACAATATTCATTTTTGAACCAAAAGCTCAGACTTGATAAAACAAGCAGGTTCAAAAGAGGATGTAGATTTAGCTATCAATAATGTTCTGATCTGTACGTTCTTTTCCAAACATCTAAAGCGTCATCAGTCATCACAAACACCAAACAAATTAAACATATTGAAGAAAACATTTGAAGACGAGATCGAACTCAGAAGAGGAGTTGCTGTATAAGAGTAAATTTGGCTTCATCATCATCCTCCTGCTTTTATATCGTTGTGGGATGGCAAATATAATATTTAATTTTCTTCATATGCTGATAGTTCAGTAAATATTAGTACAATAACGCTACTAGAATGTATAGTAAGATGGCTTCTGAGGAATTGAGCAAAGCCACAGAAGGAGAGATATTGTTACATCAATGTTAAGTCCGGTAAAGGATATGGAGAGTACACTGGGAGAAGGAGGAGGAGAAAGGGGCTGAAGTTGTTAAAAGTGGTACAAGTTAAAGTTTAAAAAAATAGGGTATAGGTAATAGGGGCGACCAATAGGCACCCTGCAAGTTTTACGGTTTTGTTTTCAAGAGCTTACTTTTGTTGTAACTTGTAAGTAAACTTAATTCGATAGTGTAAAAGTTCTTTAGACTTGAAGAGAGAAAAAAAACTCCAAACTGATAAGTCATCATGTTCAATAATTTTGAAACAATTAAAAAAAAGTAAAAAAATGACATTGTACAGCCGCTGTAAAAATAATAGCCGAGAAAATGTATAAAATTTTTATATTTTATATATATATATATATACAAAAATTATACAAATTTTATATTATTTTTTCTGTTACCAGATGTAAATTTTTTTTTGGCACGGGCTAAAAGTAATAAGAGCCCTTAAAGAGTTATGAGATAATTTACATCCACCCTGTCACTTACTGAACACATGCTACATGTGTGATTAGGGGTGTCAAATTTGGCCCAAGCCCAAATGACCTGTCCAAGGTTCGGATGGTTATTGACCCGCTCATTTGTTGAACTTAGCCCACCTTGACCCAACCTCTCAAACCATTTAAAGTTGAGCTAATTTTTAGTCCAAATTGATCCATGAATAACTCCCAAAATATCTTAGAAATAATTTTTTTTTTTTTATATGTTATATATGACCATAACAAAGAAAAAAGGTCTTATTTAGTAATTATACAATTCATAAAAAAAGAACACATATTAAGTAAAGCTTGATAAGAGTTGGGCGGATTGAGCTATGACCCAAATTTTAGTCCAGCTTGACCCAGGTCATCTTAGCCCAAGTAACTTTTGGGAGGGTCATTTGACGTGTAATTATTGACTCAACCCATTTTGACCCGCCCAAAATCTTCCCAACCCAACCATTTGACACCCCTATATGTGATGCTGATAACCATAGCTGCATATAACATACTACTAGAATCATGATTCAAACAATTAATCCTTTGCTTCAAAAAACTTGCAGAAAAAATTATGTACATTTGGCAAGGATACTTTCTAAGTAAGTCATTGATGCTTGCATTCGGGTAGGCTACCTACAGTATACACCTTAAGGTACGGCCCTTCTCCTCACTTTGCGTGAACGTATGATGCTTTGTGCACCGGCTGCCCTTTTACTTTCTGAGTAAGAAGGAATAAATTTGTGGACAGAACAAAGGATACTTTCCCCTGACTTCAAGAATCCAATAACAGTACCTTTCAAGAAGATAGTATTACATACCAAGATCACATAACTAGTTCTTTATTCTTTTCTTGTCTTAAAAGATCTCAACATCTCTTTAGACATTACCTAATGCTCAATCCACCAATTTTCACAGTTCAAATTTGCATATATAATCATGTACTGTAAAACTGTTCATGATCAATCTCAATTCCATTCTCTTGAAATAAAAAAATGCAGTCTAGGCCTGAATTACCTGTTTATGGCCGTGATGAAGATCGCCCTATAAGGCGATACCATAGCGCTAGCTACTATGCCCACAGGGTGAAAGAAAGTTTAACCACAAGAGTTTCAAAACTAGTATGTTCTATATTCTTAGGCCTTCTTGCAATTGTTGGACTCATCACATTCATTTTATGGCTAAGTCTTCGCCCTCATCGGCCACGAATTTTCCTCGATGACTTCTCTGTTCCAGCTTTAGGCCAAGGAGTTGGCGGACCTGAAAATGCACAAATAAACTTCAAAGTCACAGCAAGAAATTCTAATCAAGGTATTGGCGTTTACTATGATGCAAGTCAAGTGACAGTGTATTATCAAGAACAAAGTATTGGAGGTTACCAAGTGTTGACACCATTCTATCAACAGCCTAAGAACAGTACCATTTTTGCTAGTATGCTAAGTGGTTCATCATTGACAGTGACAGGATCACAGTGGAAGCAAATGCAGAATGATCGAACGAGAGGGCCAGTGATTTTTCGTCTTGAATTAACATCAACTATAAGATTTAAGATTTCGTCGTGGAACAGTAAACGCCACAGGATGCATGCTAATTGTCCTGTTGGAGTAGGACAAGATGGCATGATATTGCCTGATTATATGGATAAGAGATGTCCAGTTTATTTTAGCTGATTTAGGAAGGGAAGCATTCATTTCAAATCTTTTCCATTTGTTATCTTATTCTTGTTGATTTTTTCATTTTTAGGATTGTATTTTACTAATTGAACTGCATTATTTCTGAAGTAAAGAAACTCTAATGAACCAACTGATATATATGTTTCTTTAACAAAGTATGACAAATAGCAGTGGAAATGTACTTTAGAATTGGCATGTAAACCACTGCGGAGGTCGAAATCTTCAAAAACTCGAAGGAGAAGAACGCAGCAAAGGCTTAATTAGAAAGCTCGAACTGTATTTGTGTCGATTTTCTAGTTCATCCCTTTGATAATCTCAGCAATATACTAAACAATAGCTAACGGACATTCAGAATACGTCAGAAGATATAGACAAATCCAAAACTGCATAGTTATTTAACACTGGGCATGAAGCACCAGGGGTAATTTAAAGATATCAAGTTAACCATCGAGACAGGCCAAATAGATGTTTTTTAAACATGATTTTTCTTTCGAAGGAGTATGCAATGCTTTAAAAGGTAAGAGGAACAACAATTTCATGTGCACAGACATTTTTAAGCTATCCAAAGAACACATGCTCAACATACATAGGAGCAAAAGAATACAAGTGATATGGAAATAATAGTCCCGGGGATGGTTCACTGGGTGCACATCAAATGGCATGCATAGTCATGAATAAATTGTTCAAAATTTTGAGTTTATGATGGCATTCAAGCAGAATACTCACTTCAAGGATTGACGATGCATAGCAATTTGTCTTCGCCAATCACGTATAGGAATCTGCATTTAGCCACAAGTATTATCAAACAATTGTAAAAACAAGGTCAGACTTCTTTGGAAGTGACTAGATAACACCATGAACCGAACGGTAGAGTCCTTACAGCAGGAAAGCCACCATAATCTCCAGGCTCACTAATATCCTTGGTGACACAGCTATTAGCTGCTAACCTGACCTGTAGCATCAAATGCTATTACTTGGTAACAATCTGATCAATAGAACAATAACCACATAGGATGTGCACAATCAACAGAAGGAGCGGCAGTATGCACGGAGAAATTTAATATCCCGATTCATATTAAGTTGAAGTACTTTATGGCTCACAGCATTCCTCGACGTCTTAGAAAAGCTTTAGAATATAATTAAGTAATACACTTTTAATAGAATAGGCCAATAGGATACTCCCTTCTCTACAAAGAGATTGTTTTGCTTTACTTTTCGGTTTCTCCCAAAAGGGTATCTGCTTTCTGTTAACGGAACTTTTCCACTACATTTTTTTTTGAATATTATAGTACTTCAAAAGCTATATGGAGCCCACTTTTTAATCCTATTTCTCTTTTTAACCCTCAAAACTCCTACATCTCAAACCTACTGAAAAGTATCCTTTTATCCCAAGTGGGGGGCACGTCAAACTAGGACACTAAACGGTTAACAGGGAGTAAGAATGATGGTATTGGTAGTAGAAACATAGAGATCTATTGACTTCATGAACAGAGAACATGCTACAAGGATTCCATAACCATCATAAAATGTAATAGCATTCTGATTCTCTTTTGAATATGTGCCATAACATTCTGAATCTGACTTATGTTAGGAGGAAGTTGGAGGATAATAAGCAGCATTGTCAAGCAAACAAAAATAAGCAGTTGTGTGGCTAAAGAATTCTACACCTGTGGTTTATTCCAACAATATCTCGTCTTTTATCCTATCATATCAGTTAGCTCAAGGCCTATAGGGAACAGGTGGACAAACTTGAAGCAAGAGAACGGGTGCACAAAGTGCAGCTTTATTATTTTATTATGAGAACCCTCTCATTCTTGACATTTCTGTATTCTTACCATGTCCATTAAGATCAATACTAGGCAGTGAATAAACATGATAATGTCAAGCTAAACAGTGCCATATAGAACTTATGATGCATAAAGTGATAACACGCAATCTCTGCTTGCTTGGAAGTTAAGTGTTCTAGCATCTGCATCTGTTCCATGCAATATAATATATAATAATGTCAGAAATCTACAAAAAATAAATTATATTTATTGTATGGAGTAGTCATTTCACATAGAATCCAAATGGTGCTAGTCAAGGAACAAATCACCAGTTAAATAGAAAACTATACCTTTGAGGCAATGTTTACATGATCACGGATCCCGACTCTTCCTCCGAAAGTTACATAGTCACCTATACTAGAAAAACAAAAGGAAAATTATGTAGATTAATCCAAGAAAAGAACAAATATATAATCTTGAAAGCTAAAAGTATACTGAACTAGAAAGTAAAATAAATTAGTGATCAAATCTAAATAGATGTTTTTTTTACTTCAATTATTTATCAAAGTGGGATAAGAAGGATAACATACGTCACTGAACCCGCAACCCCGACTTGTCCACATATGATGCAGCTTCTCCCAATCACTGCATTGTGACCTATCTGTATTACAGATCATAAGAACCGTCTTGAACCAAGATTTTCTCCAAAATTTAGAAGTAGAAAAGTACCTGAACTAAATTATCTATCTTTGTATGTTCTCCGACTACTGTATCCCTCCAACTGCATAGCTCCGGAATGATGAGGCATTTATGTTTAAGCTCAGAAACATTAGTTCAGGGGATTTAATTTGGAAAGACTTGAGACAACCACAATGAAGAATTAAAAAAGAGCATTTATTTCACCTGCCCCTATCGATACACGTATTTGCACCTATTTCTACATGGTTTTCTATTCTCACGTTCAGGGTCTGCAGATGAGATAAAAGAAAAAAATTAATAGTCTTGGAAGATTACAAAGAGTCGTAGCTCATAAGACATCAAGTATATGAAAAAGAATCCAGGAAAAGTTTATATAGTTTCTGCTATCAGCCTTTATTTAATTTTAAAATTTTTGATAGGTAGTTGATCTGGTATCAACCAATGAAAAACAAATCAAGGACTAACAATTTTTAGCTCAAGTACGGTCAGCCCTGATTCATTCAGAGAACGGCCAAGCTTGAGCATAGGTCAAAGTTATACTCAAGTGCTTACTGGGCTTCAGCACGAACAATGAGCCATTAACATAAATGATCATGGACCAAACTCAATGACATTTTTTTTCTGATCAACAAATCAAGCCCCATATAGCATGGTATTATATCTACATCAGAAATCCCTCATGTCAGCTTCTAATTTTTAAAGGACCAAAATACCAAAATAAGAAAGGACATCATACAAGTAATATGAACATATAAATGTTGAGCAGAGGAGAAGTGACGGGCTAAGAAACTAATTTAATATCGAGCACAAACGTTGACACTTTGTGTGTCAAATATCGTTCTAAAATGTAACACCAAATAAAATAACAATGAAGAATAATCAAATTGGTTTTGTCCAAATTCTAATATTAAATATCTATTGCACACCTTTTCACTACACACAAGCATGATCAACAGACTTAACTATAGGACTCTAAGGATTACTAGAATTACTCAAATTCTAGCTCACTTCACTGAGGAGCTCATTTGGTAGCTCTCCGCACTTACTTTTTCTTTGTTTATTTACTCTTGGTCACTTGCATTTAAGGCCCTAAAGACTTTAGGGGTCCTGAATTGGCCACAACCACAAAGAAATAAAAACACATTTTGGTTCATGTAAAAGACATGATTTCAAGGATCACAAAATAACAATTTTATCTCTTAGATAACTAGTAGTATTTGACTAACTTGAGGCTTTTTCACCATATTTCCTTGCTCATCTACGAAAAATCCAAAACCTGTAACAAGAAAGGAACTTTTTATTTAGAATCTAATACAAGCAGTAATATGTAAATTAAAAGCAGGTCAGCGACAGGTAGACCGAAATATGTACCAGAAAAGAGAATAGTCTTGGTTTTCTTTTTAATGAACTGAAAAAGAAAATTCCACATTAGATTCAGTCTTACCATCTTGACCAATGCATACTCCGCTGTGGATAACACAAAAGTCACCAACCATGCAATTAGCCAATGCAACATTGTAGCTGAAGACAATTTGTGCATAATTCATAGACCAAAAGTCACTTGTAAGAAATGGTGCAAAATAGAATTCAGGCCACAAAAATAGATGCATTTGAGACACTGCCTACAGCTAAGAAAGTAAATGGATCATCTTGCTTTTCCATAGCTCTTTTATCTTATTTTTATTCCCCCTCTACTGTATCCCATCCACTTTTTTCTTTCAATTCTAAACTTTTGGATTTCTTTCTTTAGGAGACTCCAGCACAGAACTAAGACATCCTAACAAATCGAGAAAAGGCTTAAGCATAGATAATCGATAATTTTTTAATATAATCATGAAAGAAAGGCTGGCGAGATTTTGCTCGGAAGAACGATATTATTTTGCCAACTGAAACCAAATAACAACTATCTTTTTAACAATACCTCTACTCTATTTATTAGGCTGAACCTATTTCAACTCAATATTTAGAACGCAGTCTTCTAGCTACCTACTAGAGATATCCCATCAAAATGAGGCCAAATACAGTGTTGTTAAAGGCTCTTAAAGTGTTCAACAACCTTGAAGTTTGATTAATTAATTTGCGCTTTGCGTATGCATCAAGGTGCTAAGCCTGTGAACCTTCACAAATGGATTTTGTCTTTAAAGGCACTATAACACACACACACACACATCTATATATATATATATATATATATATATATATATATATATATATATATAGTTTTTCCATTCTTTTGTCCAAATAACTATTCGTTGTGGTTATACTTGTATCTTCTTGCACTGTAATTATTTTTCTTATTTTTTCTTCATCGGAGCTTTTCTTCACTAAAGCACACGTTTTATTTGTGCTTAAAGCTCCAATAGAATGTAGTGCTTTTTCGCTCTTTTCGTTTTTGACTACTCTGGCCAAAGAATTGTCTTCAACATAGACAAGATGTTTACCCTATTTTTGTTGATTGGCCTATAGTGACTGTAGGTCCAATGATTGCTCCGCAGCCAATGCGACACTCTGCACCCACTGCACATTCTGAATGTACTACAGCACCAATTTCCACAAAGGCCGAGGGATCAATGCTAGCCGACTTGTGAAAAGTCCCACCACCATTGCCCCATCTGAGGTAATCTTGATGATCAACCTCACCATCATTCTGAAGTCTTGAATTCAAAGCACATTCGGGGTGCACTGTGGTACCTGATGGAATCTAGAAATAGTCATCTTGAAAGCAAAATCTATTCATTATTTAGAAATAATTTCTATGGTTTGTTTAGCTTATAAGTATCAAAAGTCTGTCTTTTTTTCTAAAAATCCAATCAAAATATGCCACACAAAATGGAAGGGATAGAGTATGCATAAGAGCTTAAATATTTATCAAACTTAGTTCTTAATTTATTTCTTGCCCAACTCGTGAAAAAGAATAGACTCCACTGCAAAAACAAGTAACGCAGTCTAAGTGGCATTTTCACAAACACGTGAGCTACTTAAATGTTAAAAGTAAAATGACATGCAGAAAATGATACCCGGCCCAGTAGAGTAATCCTGTGAAGATCTTTGGCTTATAGAGAAATAATGGGAAGAAGTAGTTGCTGATACGAGTGTTGGGGCCAACAAATTTTCAACCTTACTTGTGTGTAATTTGTTACGAACCAGTCCAGTTATAGAGGAAAGGGTACGAATGGAAGCTAATCTTTTAAGGCAAGACGCCATTCTGTGAAGTAGCTGATTACTTGTTTAACCTTAATCCAACGGCAAAACAAGTTTGTAATGGTCATAGCAATTCACGAGATTGCAATAACACTTGTTTATAGGCGTCTCGGCAACTCTATGTCTTTAATACCTTGTTTGGATGGTTGTTATCTTTTGTATTGTATCCTACTCTTACTTTAAATATAATATATTTATTTTAATTATTAATTAAATTATATTATATCAGATCATTAAATATGTAACGACGAAAAATGTCACTTTATGAAATGACCGATTTAGTGTGGTCGCGTAGTTTCCTTGTTTTTTTGTATCATCTTACCCTTTTTATTACTAAATATAATCTTATTTTATCTTTTATCCTATCTTTTTATATAATAATATTACCTCATAACTTACTTTTTCTTTATATTATTGTAAGTTTATTTTTTATATTATTGCTACATTACATCATGAAACTACGGCAAACAATACATTCTATCCAGTACAATACAATACAATACTATACGATAAATTATGAAGCAGATCAACCATCCAAACAAGTTGTAATGGGTAATTTAGTTCCGAACAAGGTTATTTTGGGATTATATTTTCGAGATTAATAATCTTGAAATTTTAACCCACCATTCAATATGTAATATCAAGATTTTGATATAAATTCATGTCGATTTTAGCTATACCAACAGGCGATGACCAAACATTGGATAAATATAAGGCAAAGTACCTTAACACCCGCCTAAATTTGACACGGATTATTAGTTACAGCTTTAAACTATTTATGATCTTAATTACCCCCTCAACTTGGCTTTTTGAGAGTCATTACCCCCTGGACGCTGATGTGGCAAAGAGTGTGGGTGCACTCGCCTGCCACGTGGACTTTTCTGTATATGTGGCATTTTTTTTAAATAAAATATATTTTTACCTTTTTAAGTATGTTACTTTTTTGGATAATTTTTTTCGAATAGAATTTATAATAAAACTTGGATAGAACTACATTATTTAGGCTAAATATTTTTATTTGGCATAAAAATAATAAAGTTTTAGTTGATCTTTTTTTATTATATCAACTAAAGAGGAACTTTTCTGTATTATAAGAATAATAAATTTGCTGAAATACAAGAATATATAATGTATATTATAAAATAGCTTTATTTAAATAATTATTTTTATATTTAATTATAAGGAGGAAAACAAATCGGAAACCTAATACGCAGCAAATACAGACGGAGGAAAGTAAAGAGGAAACTCTGAATCGAATGGTTACGCCTGAATCAGCAGTTATACAACAATTAGCTCCGGTTCAATTGCTACAATGGATGCCAGGTATGGGGAGTGCACCGACAATCATGCAAGACCCACCGCCGAAGGAACTTGAAACTACAAAGTTGAATGAGAATACTATGGCTACAGCAGCAAGGAAATTGACCTATTCTACTGGATCTAGAGAGGAGAAGAGAACTATGGCAGATGTGGTCAAAGGCAATAGAACAGTACAACAAGGAATGCAACTCAAACTCTATCCACCTGAGGTGAGGGATGGAGTTAAAGTTGTGAAGCTGAATCAGGAAGAAATGGCAAAAAATGGGAGTCAGCACTCATAGGGTACGTTATGGGAGGAAATCCTACCTTCAAAGAGATGCTGAAATTTGCTTATGGGGTGCGGAACTCAGTCACTACTCCAACGGTATTACTATATGATGATGGCTATTTTATTTTTAGATTTGAATCAATTGAGGATAAAATGCAGATTATGGCAAAAGGACCGCATACTTTCAACAATAGACCAATGGTACTGAAGAATTGGGAGCCTGACTTTGAGCTTGATAAGGAGCCTATGCGTGTGATGCCACTATGGGTCACCTTGCCAGGACTACCTATCCAATGCTGGGCAGAGGAGAACCTGGGAAGAATTGCAAGTTGTTTGGGAAAACCTATATGAACTGACAGACTAACAGCACAATGTGAAAGAGTATCATATGCTCGTGTGTTGATAGAGATGGATATAACACAGCCATTACCAGATGATCTGAATTTAGAACTTTCTGATGGTAAAATTAGGGTGCAAATAGTGGAGTATGAATGGAAACCAAAACTCTGCCAGGAGTGCAACCAATTTGGGCATCCTAATGGGGAATGTAAGCTAGAAAAACAGACAGGAAGACCAATGCAAAGGAAGAAGGATAAAAAGCAGAAATGGGTGAGGAAAACTAAGATAGATACAAATGTAGAGAATGAAACAACTGTTGCTGAGAAGGAAACACATGAGGAAGAGAATACACAGGAGGAGACACAGGAGATTCAAATTCAGGTTGGAGAAAGAGGCAAATAGGCTATGGTCTACCATGGTAGATCAAATACAAAAGGCCAACCAACAATTGATTATGAAGAGTTGACAAGGAGAAATAAATATGCAACACTGAGAATTCAGGAAGGTGAGCCACCTGATAGACATGGAGGCAATGAGCATATACAGGGGATTACCAAAGGGCCTACTCCAACTACCATCCCACCAATATGATCTTCAGTACATGGAATATTAGAGGACTAAACAAGTCCTTTAAGCAGAGGGAGTTTAAAGACTTCCTTGTAGAGAATAAAATTGATTTGATAGGATGTTTGGAGACTAGAATGAAACAAAGGAGAGCAAGGGATATACAAAAGAAGATTGGTAGTGGGAAGTCATCGATAACTATCCTGAGGCTCCTAATGGTACGATTTGGCTGTGTTGGAAAGGGTCAGCAGTAAACTTAGTTGTAAAGCAGATACCATCACAGCTGATCCATTGCCATATACAAGATAGAAATTCTGAGTTTCAAAGTGATTTAACTATTGTATATGGCCTACATACTATAGCAGATAGAAGAGCTCTTTGGGATCAATTAAGGGACATCAATGCAGTAACCAATGGCCCTTGGTTGATTATGGGGGATTTCAATAGTGTCCTATCAGTGGAGGATAGAATTAATGGGGTACCTGTTCACCAAAATGAAGTGGTTGATTTCAAACAATGCATTTCTGATATTGGAGTAGGCTTGATAAACAAAAAAGGGATGCAGTTTTCATGGAGTAATAAGAGAGGGGCTGAAGATGGGATATACGGTCATATAGACTGGGCGTTTGGTAATGCAGAATGGTTTTGGCTGTATGCAGGTATTGAAGCAATATACTTAGTACCTGGATGTTCTGACCACATACCTATCCTATTGAACACAGAAGTTCATAGAATGAAGGTGAAGAAACCTTATAGATTACTGACTGTAATGTTACAACAGGAAGAGTATAAGGCAGCAGTGGAGAATGTATGGAGACAAGACTTACAAGGATACACTATGTATGCTATCTGTAGGAAACTTAAACTGCTGGAGTTTTATACTAGAGGATTACAAAGAAAATACTCATCAGTGGAGGAAAAACTCAAATAGATGAAGGAGGATATTAAAGGAATACAACAGAAACTTAATGATGACCTATTAAATCTACAATTGATAGAGCAAGAAAAGGAACTTCTGAGGCTAATGGAGAAATGGGAGGCAGTACATGAGAAGATATTAAGACAGAAGTCAAGGGCCATATGGATCAAACATGGAGACTCTAATACTAAATACTTCCATGCTCAATTGAAGGCTAGACAGGCAAGAAATAGAGTCACATCTATTTGTACAGAACAAAATGAGAGATTGACTGATCCCCTGCAGATCCAGCAGGAGTTTATACAATTTTTCAAGAGCTACTAGGAGAGGCTGCACCAGTGATGCCTGGAATTGATGTTAACATAGTTAGAGATGGACCCTGTCTATCAATGGCACAACAGCAACAAATGTTAAGGCCTGTAACAGAAGAGGAGATTACAAGGGTGGTACAAGAACTACCAAATGATAAAGCTCCAGGAATAGATGGATATCCAGCTGAATTTTTCAAAGAAAACTGGGAAGTAATTGGTGAAGATGTTATAAAGGTAGTAATCCAATTCTTTGAAACAAGGAAGCTACTTAGAGAGATCAACTGCACCACTGTCACACTCATACCTAAGGTGACAAATCCAAATTATGTGAAGGAATTCAGACCTATTGCATGTTGTTCTACAATGTACAAGATTATAGCCAAGCTGCTTACTACTAGGTTGAAGTCGGTAGTGGATTATCTGGTGGGACCTTCACAGTCAGCATTTATAGAGGGAAGAAACATCTTGGAAAATGTAATTCTAGCTCATGAACTGATCAAGGGGTACAATCAGAAAAAAGTTTCACCAAGATGTACAGTTAAAGTAGATATTAGAAAGGCATATGACTCAGTGGACTGGAATTTTCTAAGGGCCCTTATGCTGGAATTTGGTATCCTTGGTAAAATGGTCAAACTCATTATGGAGTGTGTAAGCACAGTTTCTTACTCCCTACTGATCAATGAAGGATTAACACCAAAGTTTCAGGCAAAAAAAGGATTAAGACAAGGTGACCCAATGTCACCTTATCTTTTTATTTTGGTGATGGAGTATTTGAACAGATCTTTGAAGCAGCTGAAATCAAATTCAGATTTTAACTACCATCCTAAATGTGCAAGACTAGGAATAGTTCACATATGTTTTGCTGATGACTTATTAATGTGCTGCAGAGCTGATAAGGTGTCTATTGAACTCATAATGACACAATTTGAAAAATTCTCCACAGCTTCAGGCTTACAGGCTAATATGGAAAAGAGCTCATTCTATGTGGCAGGAATATCTAATCAACACAAGCAAAAAATACTGGAGAAGCTGAAGTTCACCAATGGAGAAATACCATTCAAGTACCTAGGTGTCCCTTTGTCCTCAAAGAAACCCACCATTAGTCAATGCATGCCATTGGTTGATAGAATTGCAGGCAGGGCCAGATGCTGGACAACAAGATTTTTATCATATGCAGGGAGAGTCCAACTAATCAAAAGTGTGTTGTTTGAAATGCAAACATACTGGGCACAAGTCTTCATGATTCCAAAAAAAGTACATGATATGGTTACAGAGATATGCAGGAACTTTCTATGGCATGGAAGCAATGAAGGAAAAAAAGCTCCTATATCATGGGATACAATTTGCAAGCCAAAAGCAGCAGGAGGACTGAACATTATAAACTTCTCTATGTGGAATAGAGCAGCAATAGGGAAACTGTTATGGGTAATTGCACAGAAGAAAGACAAGTTATGGGTTATGTGGATACATAATCACTATATAAAGAAGAAGGAGATGGAAAATATGGAAACTCCAAAAGAGGCTAGCTGGGTGGTAAGAAAAATATTTGAAGCCAGAAAAAGGCTAAACACCGGAATACAAGAACTGGAACTATATGTTATACAGGGAAAGTATACCATCAGCAAAGCTTATCATTCATTCATGCCACAATATCCAAAAGTTACTTGGAAGACACTGTACATGACACGAGGTATGATACCTAGGCACCAGTTCATTTTGTGGATGGCTATGCATCGAAGACTAGCAACTGTGGATAGGCTGATCAGATGGGGAATACCAGTACCTGCAGAATGTGTTTTGTGTATGACAGATGAAGAGGAAACTCATGATCATTTGTTCTTTGAATGCTCATATTCAAAGTTCATATGGAAGCAACTTTTGAGCCTGTTTGGAAACGATCGACAAGTAGGTGGATGGCAGGAAGAGATTGAATGGATGGCTACAAAAACAAAGAGCAGGAATACAAAATGGAAGATCCTGGGAAATGCCTTTGCAGCTACAGTATATCATACCTGGATGGAAAGGAACCTACGAAGGTTTCAACAAACAAGAAAAGAAAGTAGGGATAGAGTTAGAGAAATTGTATTGCATTTGCACATTAAAGGAGATAGCTATTGTAAATGGAGGGTTGTCCTAGATAGGATAAATAGATATCCATGTTAGTATAGAGTTTAAGTTCCAGATGTGGAACTTAGGTGCTAAAAAGATAGGCTATTTTTGTAAGACCCGTCTCTAGAGTCCATCGAGTGGGTGGATGTACATATTTACACTTGGTTAAATAAAATTTTCAGTTTAACCAAAAAGAAAAATGATAAGAAGGCAAATAAAGTTGCTGCTAAAGACAAAGCGTATGTATAGCAGCAAGAAAAGGAAGAGGTGGCCCAGTGGTTGGCGAGTTTAAACAAATTGGGAAAATGGAATTAGGATTTCAAAGAAGAAGAACAGTCCGGTCAAAGTCTTTTTTCCCTACTGGCGATAAAGACCCGTTTATATTAGGATTCTTCGTCTGAATTTTTGTAGGTAGACTAAAAACTGCTCAACTTTGGCAAACTTGAAGACAATAGGTGTTCGGGATAATAGATAAAGGACTAAGTTGGACCTACCCTTAAAGATAAGGGATAATTTTAGCTAAAAATTCTATTACTTTGTCTATCCTTCGTTCCAATTTATATGATGATGTTTGCTAAGCAAGTATTAATAAAAGAAAGAAAAAATATTGAAACTTATAATATAAAGTATAAAATAAGTTATAGCTATAAGTTATCTCATTAAGTAAAATAGAAAGTTTAAAATTAAATTGTTTCGAAGAAGTAAATTTTTTGAAATAGATTACAAAGAAATTATTATAAGTTGGGACGGGGAGAGTATGTTAATTCCATAAACTTTTTCCAAATAGATTTTCCTTTTAAAAGTATAAATAAAAAATACATATAACACTAATAAAGATTGTAAATTAAAATAGAAAAATTTCCTTAAAGAGAACTAGATTGTTATCTTTATATCAAAGGAGGTTCATGTAATATATGAAATTATAGCTGGAGGCATATATGACAAGTCTTTGTAAGATTTCCAAAGTTCAACCATAAAATACGACTTCAAGATTGTGAATTGGTAGAACTTGCTTCATGAAAATCTTTCTCCAAACAATAAATTGATCACGCATATCGTGGAAATTCCATAATATCCGCTCTATTTTTTTTCTTTCAGTTTTTCCGGGTAAACTTAATGTATTTTGAACAATTAACTAGACTAGTCGCTACACGTAACCGGAATACCCTGGTGGGTCTTCATAAAAACCCGAGAAATTGATCCAAACTGAAAACTAAAGCAAACCGGTTAGAAAAATCAATACTTTTTTGGGTAGGTTTTGAATTTTAAAAATGATCAAATTTGGTTTGGTTTTTGTTTTGGTTTTAGTAAAAAAATAACCGAAAAAATCCGAACCAAAACGACTATAAAAGTAGCTATTTAAAATTATTATTACACTTATACACATGTATAATTTTTACACAAAGTTTCTAAAGTTTTGTAGTACATGTTAATTGTTTGCACTTTTATTTTAGTTCTTGCTATTATAATAATCTAGTTCTATTGAATACAATGGAAGAAATAAAAAGCAGTGAAATAGATTAAAACCAACCCAGCTGGAAATTTCCAAAAATTAGTTAAGTTAGTTAAAAGTCAGTTAGTTAAGGTAGTTAGAGTTGTTAGATTAGCGGGAAAATTAGATACTTCACATCTGGAAATTGAACTAGTATTTAGTAGAGAATCTTGCTCTATATATATGGTTGTAATACATTTCATAACACAAGAAATAAAATACGAAGTTCTCTCTCCCTATCTCTTCTTCTTCTTCATTTTCTTTCTCTGTTTCTTCTTCAGTTCTTTCTTCATTTCTTCTGCAGATTATATTCTTGCTTTCTCAATTGATATAGTTTGATCCATGTATGAATTTCTACATGGTATCAGAGTCATCCGCAATCAAATCACACTCGCAAAACTCTGAAACTCTTAGAATTCTCAGGCAGCTTTCAAAATCTGCAGAAACTAAAACGGAAGAAGCAGAATTGGTATCAAGTTGAATATCTGGAAAATAATTCTTGAAACATGGCTATCAATGGTGCAGAAAATCTGGAAACTGGGAGTGGAATACCTGTCAATCAAATCGATGCAAGCTCAACACAAAATGCACCAGGAATCTTGCCTTCTATGGATCATAATCACCCCTTGTATCTGCATTCAACAGATGTAAGTGGCATTTCCCTCATTTCTCTACAGTTAATGTGAGCACGTGATTTTTGCCCTAAGCAATAATTCCCAAAATTTCAAACAAAACAGTTTTTCTAGTATTTATAATTTTTTTTGTGAATTTTGTGGCATCCTTTGGTAATTGTTGCATTTTTATTTGTATCCATATGAAAATACCAAAATATGCATTGGCATTTAGGGATTTAATTTCACAATTTTAGTACTAATTAATTTTAGAATAAATGTAGAGAAAATTGCAAGAAAATAGTTCTTTGCATTATTAATTATTGCATTTGTTTTAAATAGAGCTATAAGTAATTCTAGGAGTTAAATAGTGTAATTAGGTCTGTGCTTTGTTTTAGCATTTTATAAAATAAAAAAAAATAAAAATAATAATAAATAAATACAAAAAATACAAAAAAAGGAGAAAAAGAGAAAAATTCAAAATGGACTTGAGTAAAGACCAAATTTGGGCCAAAATCAGGTAGCCCAAACAATTCCCACGTCCAGACCCAAACACCCTGCCCGGTCCAATTGCCCCACGTTCAAAACGACGTCGTTTTGACGTCGTTTAATCACGACCGTCTATTTCCCCAAATCCAATGGCCACGATTAACTCTCAAAATGGAATAAAACTGTCCGAATTATACACAAAAAATAAAAACATAATTCCTCTTCCTCGTACCAACCCGTCCCCTGTAACGCCGGTGCCGGCCACCCTCCTCCGCCCTAGCCCCACCGTCCCTCCGCCGTCCGCCGCCGGCCGGAAATCGCCGCCGCCGGCGGCGAAGCTCCGATGACCANGATCCCCGATGAAAGAGAATGAGATGGTGGATTATTTCCTTCAGGCTTTAGAGCCGACTTACTATGGCCATCTAGTGTCCGCTGTGGGGAAAACTTTCAACGAAGTTGTAAAGATGGGCAGCATGGTAGAAGAGGGTCTCAAGTCCAACAAAATTATGAGTTACTCAGCACTCAAAGCAACCACGCAGGCCATTCAAAGCGGCACCGGAGGAGTGTTGGGCAAGAAGAAGAAAGAAGAAGTGGCGGTAGTGGAATCAAGGGTTTGGTCCAGGGGTCCGCCACCATATTATCACCAACCTCGCCCTCACCCCCAAGCTTACCCGCATACCTCATATGGCCCACTACAGCAGTACTACCCACCTCCTACTCCCCATTTCTCTGTCCATCATGCCCAGACATACCCATAACCTCCCACTCGTGCCCAATGGCGCGCACCCGCACCCCAAAACACTTACCCACCCCAAAGAACCAACAGAAATACCGCTGGAACCAGTTTCCAACCCAATCCTGCATATAAGACTGATAGGTCGCAGAAGAAGAAGACTTTCACTCCCTTGGGAGAATCTTATACGAGCCTATACCACAGATTGAGGCAGTTGGGTATGCTGAACCCGATCGAACCTAAATTACCAAACCCTCCCCCAAGGAACCTGGACCATTCAGTGAATTGTGAGTACTGCTCAGGAGCGCCTGGACATGATACAGAGAAATGTTGGCATCTGAAAACTGCCATTCAGGAATTGATTGATACACGCAGAATCGAGGTGCAGGCTCCGGAGACTCCCAATATCACTCAGAATCCGCTACCAATTCATCATGAGGCTCACATGATCGAGATAGTGCAGAAGGGAGAATACAAGAAGCCGTCGCAGACTGTGATGATGATTAAAGCAAGCGAAAGTAAAGCAAAAGAGGACTTGGTTGATAAGAAAGCTTGGGTCGCAGTGGGCCGGACAGTCAATGAACCAGTGAGGGTAATAAAACCAGGGCCTGTTAAGGTAACAATACCAGGAGCAGCTGTCGAGCCTGTATTGGTTGTAAAAGGCGTTCGAACAGAGCCAGTCATCATCAAACCGGTGACCCAATTGCCCGTGGTTAGTGAGAAAGCTGTCCCGTGGAACTACGACAGAGTGACTATGGTGTACCAAGGAAAGGAAATTAAAGAAGAAGTGTGTGAAACTCATGGGCTGACTAGATCAGGGAGGTGCTTTACCCCTGAAGAATTGAGGAAGGTTAAAGCAGCTAAAGACAATTCGGCACCGATAAAGAAAGCCGTTACTGAAGAAGAAGCTGAAGAGTTCCTGAAAAAGATGAAGGCTCAGGACTATTCGATTGTGGAACAACTGAGGAAAACCCCGGCACAGATCTCATTATTGTCCTTATTGATCCATTCAGATGAACACCGCCGGGCCTTGATGAAGATTCTAAACGAAGCTCATGTACCAGATAAAATTACTGTGAATCATCTTGAGAAGATTGCGAATAAGATTTTTGAGGTAAATAGGGTGACATTTTCTGATGACGAGTTACCATTGGAAGGAACTGAACATAATAGAGCTTTGTACCTCACAGTGAGGTGTGAAGATTCCGTGGTGACTCGGGTGTTAATTGATAATGGGTCTAGTGCCAACATTTGCCCTCTTTCCACTCTAGAAAAGTTGCAAGTTGACAGGGAAAGAATTCATAAAAACAGCATCTGTGTACGGGGGTTTGACGGCGGAGGGAAAGACACAGTGGGAGATATTGTGTTGGAGCTAACAATAGGACCTGTGGAATTCACGATGGAGTTTCAAGTGCTCGATGTCAGTGTTTCCTACAATCTTTTACTGGGACGGCCCTGGATTCATGCCGCAAAGGCAGTACCGTCTACTTTGCATCAAATGGTCAAGTTTGAATGGGATCGGCAAGAGATCGTGGTTCATGGAGAGGACAATTCTTGTAATGCTATTACATCCTTCGAGGAAGTTGAAAATGACAAAGGTCCCTGGGTGTACCAAGTCATGGATACAGTGCCAGTTGATAAAATCCCGGAAGGAGAGTGTGTTCCCATGCCCAAGATAGCTGCCGCATCTGTTATGGTAGCCTCAGAGATGATAAGAAATGGATTCTTACCCGGAAAGGGGTTAGGTGCTTCACTGCAGGGGATCATACAGCCGGTGTCTCTCCCTGGAAATCTAGACACTTTTGGGCTAGGTTTCAAACCCACCTCAGCTGACATAAGGAGAGCCAGAAAGATGAAAAAGAGAGTGTGGACCCTTCCAAAACCTATTCCCCGCCTTTCCCGTTCCTTCGTCCGGCCTGGTACTAAACAGCGCCCAGCAACAGCAATGCCAAATTCTGTGGTGATAGAACCTGACAAGGAGATGCTCGCAAGGTTCGAAAAGTTGTTCGATGAAGTGAGTATGGTGGAACCCGGCGAAGGCCCGAGTGAATTTGATGTGCAGTTCATGGGATCTCAGGCTAAGCTCAGTAACTGGGAAGCTACTCCTCTTCCAATTCGGAAGGAGTCGTGGTAGTTAGTTTTGATTTTTCCTTGAGTACTAAATCTGGATTATTTCCAGGGTTGTAATTCAGATTCCTATGTTCCGTCCGTTTTGGATGAGTTAAACCTTGTTATCTTACAATTATAATGAAATGCAATTTCCTCTTTTCTTCTCTCCTGATAGTCTTTATTTTTGTTTTCTTTTCTCTTTTGTACAGTCCCTTTTATGCTGATTTCAATGATGTGTCATGCATAAGGAGTCGCCGGCCTAGTCTTGATAATCAATGTGAAATAGTAATACAGGAAATTGAGTGTGAGGACGGAGGGGAATACGATGATGTGGAAGCTTTGGAAGAAATCAGTAAGGAGTTAAATCAATTCGAGGAAAAACCCAAGCCTAACTTGAACGACACAGAGGCAATCAATCTAGGGGATCGGGAGAATGTTCGGGAAACAAAAATAAGTGTCCATCTGGAAGCCCCGCTCAGGGAGGAGATAATTAAATTGCTGCTTGAATACAAAGATGTTTTCGCATGGTCATATGATGACATGCCGGGTTTGAGTACCAATCTGGTGGTCCACAAATTGCCTGTTTATTCGGCATGCCCGCCTGTCAAGCAGAAGTTGAGGAAATTTAAAACAGATATCAGTGTGAAAATCAAAGAAGAGGTTACCAAGCAGCTTGAGGCGAGGGTCATACGAGTTACTCGATATCCTACCTGGTTAGCTAATGTGGTGCCTGTACCAAAGAAGGATGGGAAGACCAGAGTATGTGTTGACTACCGTGATCTCAATAAGGCGAGCCCGAAGGATAGCTNATAGAACACACAAATTGACGGGGCCCGTCATTAATTGCTTATATCAAAATGATTAGAATCCGAGGCGTGCCATTTAGCAAAATTTCATGGCCCTCGCAAAGCCAAACGCGTAGGTGCTTTAGGCGCATACTTTAATAATATTACTTCCCTGAATTCGGGTGCACATTGATGTGACCCAAATCCAAATCTCAACGAAGTCGAAATGTGCTAACAATCACAGGTGCACTGGTGCGACGTGATTTGAGGCACATTTTCACGACGTTGCAATCCGTTTAAAAATCAAATAAAAATAAAAGTAAAAGCGGTTTACTAATAAAAGCACATAAGCTAGAACATATTTCGAAATCAGATAAAATCAAATACAATAGTTGAGCGACCGTGCTAGAACCATGGAACCCGGGAATGCCTAATACCTTCTCCCGGGTTAACAGAATTCCTTACTCGGAGTTCTAGTTCGCGGACTGTTAACAGAGTCATAATTTCCTCGGATCGGGATTCAACAGGTGACTTGGGACACCATTAATTTCCCAAGTGGCGACTCTGAATATTAATAATAAATCCCGTTCCGATTGTCACTTCAAGTTGGAAATAACTCCCTTTATTATACCCTTGCGGGTGTAGTAGATAAAAAGGAGGTGTGACAGTTAACTGGTTCTGAAAATTACTCACTATTGAGTAAATACATGAGGATTGCTCTACTAGGAAGAAACAAACTAGGTTTGTCGATGGT